TGCTATCCAAACAAAGCGTAAGTATTTGAAACAATTTTTTGTGTCCTCTCTTCAACCAACTAAGTCTTTTTTAAAATCATAGTTTAGCTGAATTTTAAATAAAACAATTAAGCTAAAATGGCATGGAAAAATAAATGTGACGAGCTAAAGATTATTAGAAACAACATCATACAACGATCATTAATTATAAAATCATAGCACATACATGCATATTAAAGTAAATTTCTATGCAATTTCCTATGCTTTTTTTATATCCAAATTATAATTTCTTTGCATAGCTTCCTTTCTACTTCGAATATATTCATCCGATTTCACATTTATATTAATAAAACCTCTAGTAAACATGGGCGTCTCCGGTCTAGTAACCATATTATTTTCATCCTCACATTTCCTTTCTTGTGAATCTTTATGTATACATTCATCGTTAGTAAAGTCTAGGGCAACATTACTCTTATGTCGAACTCGTTTTCTTACCTCCTTACCATCTTTTAGACACTCGGATTTTGTAGCTTTCTCTTGCTCGTTCGAAATCGAATTATCGTAACATTCTTGATGGAGAATTGCCTCATTTTCAATAGCTTTTCGATCATTTCTATTCTCAGGGGAATCCTTTGTGTTAACTAAATCTGTAAAGTCGTTCTCTAATTCTGGGGTTTTTTTATTTAGAGTTTCTAGGATTTTTACTAGGAGATTGATATTTACAATAAAGTTATAAATCCTTTGTATAAAAAGAAAAGGCTGAAAAAATTTATAACTTTTCAACATAATTAGTAAAGAAGGGAAAAATTTTTTTTTTTCTTGTTTGTTTAAATTGTATGAGTTGGTTTAAGGTGATTTTTCAGCTCTATACTTTTATATATTGTGATTTGTGAACACTTGGATTCTGTACTTAAGAAACAAGTTAGCATGGATCGATGTAAGAATAATACTTTCCCGAACTTTTACAATCACATATATTAATTGAGAATGTCCTTACAAAAAATTTCAAGTGTTTAAAATAATACTGAGTAAATTTTTTTTGATTTTGACACTATTACTTACATAATTCTAAATCTAACAAGTGGTGAAAAGGAAAAAAAATAAAGAAATTTCATGTAATGATATTTTCATTGCTTTTTTTGGGGTGGCTAGCCACACCTTGCAGCATAGACGGATCGGTGGCCAGCCTAGGCCACAGCCCGCCCCGTGATCCAAAAATTGTATAATACTATTAAGTTGCAACTATCATTGGGATTTTGTTAGCCTTATCATTTGACGGGTTTAAAAAAAATTGGCTTAGTTGGTTGCAACATTGTTATATAATGTTTGGGACTAGAGTTTAATAACCCTTCATCAAGTAACGTCGGCCAAATAGCCCCTGGTCAAGTAACCCCCGACGATCGATTGAATAACCTTTGATCGAGTAACCCCGGTCGTGTAGCTAGCCACATGAAAAATTGTCATTTTAATAAGATTATACCATAATACAAGATTTTAAACTAAACTTCTATTATATTCTTGGTGTATACATAATAAATTCTTTTTCCTTCATAATTTTTTTTCATTTTACAGATTGATCTTCTCTAATAATTTTTTTTTCTTTTTTAAAAAGTGTGTATATCTAACGTCTGCGCAAAATTAACACAATGTACCTACTAATCTTAAGTTGAAGTACGTGAAACATGTTAGAGCATTTTTTTTTTACTTTATCCCAAAGAAAGTTCATTTGCTAAAGAGATTTAACTACTTTTCACATATAGAAGTCATAAAAGATGTCTACCTTACTTAAAGGTCTAGTATTCCAAAGAGGCAGGCCAGATTTTATTCAATCAACTGAGGTTACTATAATATTTACCACTTGATTTTATTTCATTCTACACCATTGTTCTATATAGATTCATTATGAAACAATGACATTAATAGATTTTAGAGCATCAATTCATCCGTGATCCTACAATGTGGTAGAATAATTCAAATTTTGCTAGGTTATTGTTGGAGCTTTTGTCCCCTAAATTGTACACATATAATGTATTCCCTCAGTTTTTTTTTTTTTTTTCCTATCTTCTTACTTTCTGTTTTAATATGTTTTTTTTTTTTAATATATCTTTCTACTTTATTCTTTTTTATGGTACGGAAAATTTCCAGATCTATCACTTCTTACCCTATTACATGGTCCACGTAAAAGTATTAAGAAAATAACTACTTAAAAAGTAATTCACATCTAATATCTATTTACACAACTGATAAATATTAATCCAGGCCAACTAATTTTACCAAACATGCCTTTAAATCCAAAACGACATGTTGGTTATGAGTTGATTCAAACGTGGCCAAAACTTTGCAATTTTCAAACACATATGGATCATGCATCCTTAGAGCATCATTATTGGTGAACACAAAAAAAATGGTTCATGGGTCACTATCACCATTTCTCTCTCATCCACATCAACCCAACAAACCATTTACAATATTCACTCTTAACAATGAACACTAAACAATGGTTCATCATCAATACTCCCTACCCCATCTTATTTTATATTTGTAAATATAATCTTTTTTGTTTCATAATTATAATTTATTAACCCGATGTCAATGTAAGTAATTGACGTATTTAATATTTTAATCGTGATTACTAATTAAGAAATTATCGCATTTTTTTATCAGCTTTTTAAAAAACTAATTCTTGTGATTAATATTTTTTAAACAACAACGCAGCTAATTTTAATTAACAAAAAAAAAAGAGGTACAAATCGTGATTACAGTTCTACAACTATAATCTAGTACATTTTATTTAAAAAAAAAAAACAACTACACATCGTTTTGTAAGATGTCCTTAGGGATAACCATTTGTTGTAAACCTAGTTGCCTAAGTTTTCGTTGTTACCAAATTTATTCCATATATGTTCGACCAAGTCGTTTTTTAGCTGCAAATGAGTCTGTTGATCCTCAATCTCTGTTCTACGAGACAAGTATAAGCCGATATCCACAATACGATCAGTACGGTACTCGGTAGTGTCCTCATTAGCGTTGCCTCCAGCATTCATAAACTCATTGGTATTAACGTTATTTTGATACGTCTCTCGTTCATCTTCAACGATCATATTATGTATTATGATGCAGGCGAGCATGATATTGTGGAGTATGTCGGTATCCCACGCCAAAGACGGCTTTTTAATAATGGCAAAACGAGCTTGAAGGACCCCAAATGCGCGTTCAACGTCTTTCCTTGCAGCTTCCTGGTGTTTTGCGAATAAACGATCCTGACGAGTTTGTGGACTCGTAATGGATTTCACAAAAGAAGCCCATCTAGGGTAGATTCCATCAGTAAGATAATACCCATTCGTATAATGATGACCATTGACTACGAAGTTCACAGGAGGTGTTCGACCCTCTAAGACGTCTTCGAACACAGGGGATCGATGAAGCACATTAATATCGTTGCAGCTACCTGGCATCCCAAAGAACGAATGCCATATCCATAGATCTCTGTCCGCAACTGCCTCCAGTACGAGAGTTGCAACTCCTTCTCTTCCTTGATACTGCCCCTTCCATGCGTGTGGACAGTTCTTCCACTCCCAGTGCATACAATCAATGCTGCCTATCATGCCAGGAAATCCACGTTCTTCCCCAATACGTAGCAATCTTTCCATATCTGCGATGTTTGGACGGCGTAGGTACTGATCACCGAACAGGTTGATGACACCTTCTGTAAACTTTTGGAGTGCCAATCGTGAAGTTGCCTCACTTATACGGACATACTCATCACAAGCGTCTGAAGCACACCCGTAAGCTAGTTGTCTAACGGCCGCAGTGCACTTTTGAAGTGGAGACAAACCAAGACGACCTACCGCATCTCGCCTTTGTTGAAACCAGGGGTCATGTTGGGTCACTGCGTTCAGAAGGCGCTCAAACACATGTTTACGCATTCAAAACCGGCGCCGGAACAAGGAACTTGGATAAACTGGGACTTCCGCGAAATAGTCATTGTATAACCGTGCATGACCTTCTTCGCGTCCCCTATCCTTTCGGGGCTCAGTAGATTTGCGTCGGCGTTGCTGAGTGGCAGCTTGAATAATTGGTGGAATGTACTCATGCGTTACGTGTTGTATCATAAGACACACTTCATTACGTTGTTGAACTCTAAGCTCCCTTCCCTCATCATCCGAGTTAGATGAAGATGAAGAGGAATCGGTTGAGCTTTCGTTTAAACTGTTTGAATTCATTTTGTACGTAAGAACTGTAAGATAGAGTGAGGTTTGCTAATAGTAACTGCAAACGATTTATGTGTTTGTGTGTAAAAAAAATGAAAGAATGGTGTTTGTTTATAGTGAACTAATTTGTAATTCTTCTTCAGAAATAACTGAATATAAAGAGACAAAGATCACATGGGCTATGACAAACAATGAATTACAACCACTCAGAAATTGAATGGAGAAGAAGGGTTTCACATGGGCTATGACCAACACTGGTTTAGAACCACACAGAAATTGAATGGAGAAGAAGGGTTTCACATGGGCTAACAAAGGGGAAATTAAGATACTGACACAATTATATATAAAGAGACAAATTGAAATAATTGAATAAACAGAATAAGATCACATGGGCTATGAAAATGGGAAAATGGAAAAGATCCATTTTACTGATTAATTGATAAAGTACAAACATAAGGAAATGAGTACAAGAGGTTGAACTGGAATTGAAAACTTATCACTACTGAAAATGAAGAACAACAAAGGAATTGAACACACTTAACTACAATAAAAATAAAGGACACTAAGCATCATTATTGAAACGTTGAATATTGTTCCGAAGTATTACTATCATTTCGTCTTCCCACTGTTCTCGGTTTACTTTCTGTTCTAGACGAGATAGTTGCTCCCAGTTGATCCTATATTGCTCTAGCTCAATTTTCCGTTGTTTCCTTGCCTCCTTGCGCTCCTGTATTTCAAGTCTCTTCATTTCTGCTTCGTTTGACACATTCATCGAATCCCCAAGTAGCTGCAATCGGCTGTTGAATGTTTCTATTCCTTAAATGCTTGACTTGATGGAGCTTTACCCTTCAATCTCGACTTAGCCTTTTTAATACCTTCAGCACGAGCTACTCTCTCATCACCGACACCCACGCTGGTTGGTGTAGTAGGTGAGGAATTGTCACCCTCATCCCGTGTCCTCTTCCCACTACTTCCGCTCCCTACAGACTCATCCGTCAGTGGAGTTGAATGTGGACGTCCCACCGAAGGCTTGGATGTTTGTTGGTCCAAGAAAGACCGGAATTTGTCCCACTTCCTTAATTGGATCCATTCCTCGTAGAAGGTGAATCGTCCGAATGAGTTCTCATGGATTTTGTGGGCCTCTTGGATAACATCATCTTCGTTATAGCCACTTCCCTTTCGCTTCCGGGCCTTATCATAGCTTCCGCACCACTTTAACACGGCTTCAGAGATTCGCATCCACCTTCCCTTCAAACTGCTAATAGTTCGTAGGGATATTTCATCTGCATTCGATTCCCTGGCAGCATCGTATGCGTCCAAGACTCTCTTCCAAAATACACCCTTCTTTTGATTTGTGCCGGTAATTATGTCGGTGTTGGTGTTCATGTAGCCGGATATAAGAGCCGCAGTTTCTGATCGCGACCAACCTCTATTGTTTGAACCACTAACACGAAATTCCGGAGTTGATTGGAGTGGTTGCTGTAACATTTGAGTGAAGTTTTGATGGGGAGAAGGAGTTTCATTTCCCTCACCATCATCCTCGCATTCTTCATTTGCCTCATCTTCTTCAGATAAGACATTGCTCGATTCCCAAATATTGGGATTCGGTTGTTGTGACGGAAAATAACCAGATGCAGCACCATATTCACCGTAACCCATTGGTATCATGGATGGATGTGGGAAATTTGAACTGCTTTGAGAAAAATTAAAATTTTGAGGGAAATTTGGTGGATTATTTGGGAAACTTGACTGGGGTATTTGAGGATAAACTCCAGAAAAATTATGGGGAATATTTGTGGGTGTTTGTGAAAAATTTGGGTGAATTGGAGGAAAATTGGCTTGATTCGGGATCATATTTTGACCCAAATTTTTTTTCTTCTTTCTATTTGTTTTGGGGTTGATATTAGCATCCATAATTATAATTTATATTTGGAAAAAATAAAAATTTAATAATAATAATAATAATAATAACAATAATAATAATAATAATAAAAATAAAAATAATAATAACGATAATAATAATAATAATAATAACGATAATAATAATAATAATAACGATAATAATAATAATAATAACGATAATAATAAAAATAATAATAATAATAATAATAATAACGATAATAATAAAAATAATAGTAACGATAATAATAATATTAATGATAATAATTAAAAATAATAATAACAATAATAATATTAATATTGGTATAAATAATAATAATATTGGTAATTATAGAGGGGATTTTTGAAGAGAAAAATATAGTAGAAAAAAATGAATTTTCAAAGTTGAAAAAAGTATATCAATATGGGTGTCTATTTATAGAGGGGAAAAAAGTAGAGTCGTTGGTAATTTTTTTTTTTTTTTATTTGTATTTTGTAAAATATATCCGTTGTAAAATTACAACGGATATATTTAAAACAGTACACACGTGTCAAGCAGCGGCTGGGCCAAGTGGCGCGCTCCCAGCCGCTGATTTCTTTTTTTTTTTCTGACCTTTAACAGCAAAACGACGTCGTTTTGCAACATGAAACAGCAAAACGACGTCGTTTTGCATGAATATCAGTCCAAAATATTGGTGGGGCCCACAGCGAATTAATTCATGCAAGTGCTTGCTCCTGCAATCGAACCCATGACCACTCAACATGAACAATTAAAGAGTTTGCCATTAAGCCACCACCTTATTTGTTCACTCATTGTGAACTATTAAAATATTCACCCTTAAAGATGCTCTTACGTTGATTGCAGCTTTATCCCTATACCTCCTCCAACGAACAAGAACACATGGATAGCATATGACACCTATAAAACTACTATTCTAACAACACTAAGTGCCTACATATAAAAGTTGTACATCCAATCTAAGACAAATCCAATACAAAGTATTATGCCTTGTAAGTTGTAACTATACATAAAACTTTAATTACCGATATATAAAAATTATTATTATGTACGGAGTAATTGTTATTTTCGAAAGTACAGTATAAATCAAGGTGAATCAAACAAGTAAATAACTCCATGACTATATTTATATATCCATAAATTATCCGTGCTACTCAAGATAGCTTACATGCCGAATAGGTATATAAATAATAGTCAAATTACAATGTTACAAGTAAGGGGATTTCTTTACATTCCCCCTCTACTTTCAATCATTGATTTATGGAGCAAGGCTGGCTAAACTTATGAAAGGTGTCGGTTTAATAGGCTTAATAAGCTCTTTCAGCTTACCTTAAAAAAAAAAAAAAAAAAAAAAAAAAAAAAAAAAAAAAAAAAAAAAAAAAGTGACTATTTAGTGCAATAGTGCCTACCTATAAAAGCTGCATATCTAATCTAAGACAAATTCAACAGAAGGCACCAAAAGGGGATTACATTTGTTGCATTTGTAATTTCAAGAGTGCAATGAATAACAAAAAGTGGTCCAATGCCGCTATAATTGGAGACGATGCAACCTTGAATTACAGCAACACATGGTGCTCCTCATAAAATGGACCTAATCCAAAGATATGTCCTTTTCATATTTCTGTTACATCATTCACCAAATTCCCTTCAATTCATGTACTATTGTATTTTTTTGGGTACATTTTTTGGTACATTTTTATGATCTTTTATGTTCTATAACTTCTCCTTACCCATTATTTTAGGCTTTTAGCTTTTTGACATGATGATATTATTGGTATTCTACTACAACAATATTGTATCATTGACTTTAAGACACTACGCTAGCTCTTTTATAATATAAATAAATAGTCTAACCTTACATTTCAATAATAAAGAGAGTGTGACTAGTAAACTTTTGTATTCAGTTTGGAGAATTTTTTTTTTAATATATGCACTTAATTAACTTTTACGAATTAAAAAAAGTTCAATTGAATACTTAAATGAGATAAATTAGCTCAAATTCTTCATGTTCGGAGGATCTTGATAGTTTAAAATAGATTGTTCTTGCCTAAAATTTACCTTTGTTGTTTGTTGCTAATTGGGAAGCTAAGATGGTAGGAACAAAGAAACTTTTACTGTTGATACACATACAAGGAAAGGTAAATAAAGTAATGTAAGTTGGTACATGTGAAGGGGAAAAAAATAATCGAAATGAATCTGTCTTTTGGCTAGTTATATATAATGTATCCAAAGGCTCTACGCCGACGTACCTACTTTAGGTATTGAACCTATTTACATTCTCATCTATGAGGAAGAAGAGAGAGTAAAATTTTATGACTAGGGTGTACTTTCACTTTCAGCTTGATACCTTCAAATCACTAATAGTTTGCTTGGATAAAGAAAGGGGGTGGAAAAGAAGGGGTGGGAGGAGAAAGGAGGGAAGGGAAGAATGGTGAGTTTTCCTTCCAAATCTCTCCATTGTTGGAGGGATCAATTTCCTACGATTTAATCATTTTATTTCTCTCCCCTCCAATTCCCTCCCTTCCTCGTTTGCTATCCAAATAAAAGATACTCCATCTCTCCATTTCTCTTCCCTTCCTTTCCCCCCATTTCCTTCAATCCAAACACACCGTAAATGAAATTCCCACAATTAGACCAAACCACCGGGATTGATGACTTGATCCCTCTTTAACGGATCAAAGTTACTTGCAAACGGTTGCTTTAACTCAATTTTAAATGAAGTTGAATATGGTAAGCTAATACTTGTTCATAATTCATATTATATTACATGATTTAAAATGACCAAGTCTGATACTAATTTAAACGAGTTAATTGCCAATGGCGTAGTTGTCTTTGGGAATATTGGTATGAATCTAACAAGACCTGATAAAAAGTAAGGGACCTTTTCTTATCAAGATGAACATAAATTGCAATAAGCTAGTGTAATTGGTTTTAACAAAACTGAATAAACATGATAGGAAATAGGAACATGTGATAAAAAGGCTATCTTTCTTTGGTTCCAATATAAGGCAATATAGTACAACTGAATTTTAGAGGATCAAATTAAATTTAGTGATGCTTGATGATAGTATTACATGAACTTAATGATAATCTAACTAGTAGAGTAAAGGAAGACTGTTGCTTTTATTTCTACTTCTTCATTTGTTTGATTTTCATTAACAGAGATAAGCTCTCATTTGCACCAGATAAACAATGGCAAACTGCTTGCATTGTTGTTTAACTCGACGTTAACACTTTGTTTGGATAAGAAGAAATGGAAGGAAAAGAAGAGAAGAGAAATGGAGGGGGACAAAATCTCTTGTTTGGGTAAAAGATTGGGGGAAGGAAGGGGAAGGAGAGGGAGAGATCCATTTTCCCTTTCTCTATAATCACCATAATCTCTCCAAAATTGGAGAGCTTTGGAGGGAAAATGGAGCTCCCCTCCCCCTCCCTTTCTTTTCCCTTCCCTTCCTCCGTTTTCCCTCCCCTTCTTTTCCTTCCTTCTTTGCTATCCAAACAAAACGTAAGAGATCGAATGTTGCAAAAAAGGAAAAGAAATCCATGAGACAATCTATGATCTCTTTCAACTTTGACATGTCCTGTTTTCTTTGAGGTTTTTCCCTTACTCTTGCCTCTTTTTTTTTCTTTTTTTTTTTTTTTTTTTTTTTTTTTTCCTGAACTGAACTTTTTTTAGAGTTCTTTGTTGTATCAAAAGAGAAAATTAAAATATGCATTGTGCAACCTGAAAAAAAGGGTGAAAAACAATGCTCACAAAGATAGATACAAAATTCCGTCTTTGATACAGGCTCACCCAAACTCTCAATTCTCAAACTCAATGCTTTAAACCCACCAAATGCCTAGTAAAACATAGCAGAAAAAGGTTACAAAATTACCAGCACTACTGCCTAAATCTATTCCTTGAACCAAAGATAACAATCAAAGAAAACCGCTAGGGTCGGCATAAGCAGCATCATATACCTTGTTTGTACAATTTGAGGCACCTCCAGCAGGATGTACATTACTCAGGCTGACTGGTGCTGCTGCTGCCCGGATATAACTTCATAATCACAACACCCTTCCTTCCACACCCGGGTCAGACATGGTGTCTGAAACATGCTCTTCCACCCGAGTGAATGGAAGGTATCGTCCCTTTTGTGCTCTTGGAGGGAGATGCTTAGCGGGTTTCCTTGAACTAACAGCCCAAGGCAAGAACACTCCAGTCCCACCACCACGGGGCATTCTTCTCGGGTTCATAACAACAGGGCGCACAGGAGCAAGCATCATAACTGGAGCTCGGATAAAACCCCACTCTGGAATCATATCCATATCTCCATTTGACATTGCTTGTGGGATTGGCATCCCAGGTTGCCACATAGTCATTGCTTGAGGCAGAGGAGTGAGAGGTGTTGAATGTTGGTTGTGCAGACTGTCAGGGCGGACCCTGGAGAAAGTGATGCTCACCCTTTTGCTAGGAGATGCACACATGACATGTCTTGCCATGTCCGCACTGTTGTTCCTCATGACAAGAAGAGATCTGCCATTATGATGAAAATGCCACATCCAATTGATGTCAGTTTGACAGAACAAAAAAATAAAGCCTTGAGTATGTAGTACAATTGATAAGAACTTACCCTTGTTTCACAGAAAGCATGAGTTGCCCTTTGAAGTTCCCGTCACCATCGTTTACAAGGGTACGTCCAAATGACATCGATGATTCAGAGAGTATTAGAGTGCAAAGTGGTTGGTCCAAATGAGGTGGTTTGAGAAAGGGCTGAGAATATTCTCCCTGAACAGCAGATATAGGAACATTAATCAATTGCTTTAAAATATCTTCTCTAGAATTTTGTAAAAACTGTAAAAGACTATTCTTGATAATATGCATCAAAGATGAGAAATTTTACCTCATCAAAAAAGTTGATAATACAACCATTGGGTTTTCTATTTTCCGGTAATACTTGCCATTGAACAAGATGATCAATAACGCTATGAAGGAAAGCCGGTATTTCCTCAATATTAGCTGCAGATATCGACACAAAATGCTCCATAAGCATAGGTTTGGTAATTTTAGCAGTTGGGAAAATTGCCTTGTAAGAAATGCAAGTATTATTATATCTCAGTCTTACTCTTTGGCTGCTGAGTGGTCTCATCTTTAATTTGTCCAAATATTGGAACACCAAGCTGAATCTGCTCCCTTTTGTTCGCCTTCATCTGTTTGTTGAACAAAATGTATGTTTCACCTGCATATAAATACACAGACACAGCCAGTGTCTAGTAAAACCATTTTTATCAGCAAATTTCATGGAAAAAACAGAAGTGATAATAGAAATCATACCTATGAGTTCTCCGTTTTGGCCAGCAGCTCGGAGCTCATCCACAAAATCATTAAGCTTAACAAGCTCCTGATCAGTGAATATGTTCTCGTACATCTTCAGACCTTTTACAACATTCACCTGCGAAAAGCAGCATTTAGTCAATAACAAACTCAGAAGTTTCGAGTATAACCAAATTTCTACATCATATACAGGTCTATACTCTACACAAAAATAAAAATGTTCAACTTTCGACAGAAGAACTCGCCATGTGCCCTTTCACTGGCTCCTTGGCTACGAAACCTTTTGTCAATTTGATCTGCTCACGACGAGCAGTACAGTCTTCATGATTATCACATATTTCAATGTGATCAAGAGATGGCTGTACTTCATGAGAACCTGCATTCATGCAATCACAAAATATACCCGATATGAATATTTAATCAAATCACTACATAAAGAAGATTATTGAATAATGTGAGCATGATTAACATGATGGCAACATAACATTTCACCCTTATTTTTTTAAAAAAATGACAGAGATATTTAAAAATGGTAAGCTAAAAGATTGTCATTGAACAAGAGGGATCTCAGGAAATCATCTAGAAGAACATTGGAAAAATGCATTTTCCCAAAATGAAATAAGATTGCTACCAAAAAGAACATAACATTTTATAAGGTGCCAATCAGGATAGGTCACCAGTAAAAAAACATGAACTACTGGTATAAACTCTTCGACTATACCTAAACAAGTCATTGTTATGCACTATTATCTTAAAGAAAAACAATGTACAGTACTTCATTTATTCATGAAACTTTACTATAGGAAACTTTATCTACACCAAATAAGGCCAAACTTGGACTCTGCCATTGTTTATGCCTCAGATAAATTTGAGCCACATAAGCACTGCAGCACATAACTGAGTGACAGCAACTGAGAGATGAATGTTCTGAACTCAGGTTTTGGAGACCTAGTTTATTTTATTTCTTTGTTTTTCGACATCACATTATGCTTTTTTTTTAAAAAAATATTTTTTTGGTCTGGATCATATCTAAGTTTAGTGTTCGAGACCATGATCAAACATTTGACACACGATATGATTATGTGTGCCAACTACACCCATCAAAGAATCAGTCTGGCTAAGTGATTAAAAGAAGCCACAAATAACAAGCAAAACATGAAAAAATAACTCCTTGACCCAAGTCCAACAACAACAGTTCACTCATTAAAGGTTTAAGGACAATTTTCCAGCTTAAACTATTCATTACAATATATTCTCTCCGTCCTTTTAAAATCGTCCTTACAAAAACCTAACCGTTTCGAAACAGAGCTTGTTGAGAAAAATCAGCTCCACATGTTACATAGAATCTTCAAACATTTGCTACATAAATGACATATGTTTGGGGATCTGAAAATGTACTTTTCCAACATTATTTACATAGTAATTTTCAAAGTTTCACATTTTTAAAAGTCTACTTAGTTGAAGGAATCAAAGTTAGGAAAAGGAATCTAAAATGTCAGACATCAAAGGGTCAACAAACGCAATTTAATCAAAAGGTTTGTGATTAACACACAATCACTGGCTGAAAGATCCAACGGCCCGCAAAACCCGCCGCCCAAAATAAATGATAGAAGCACACATCTCAATCCCAGAAGAAGAAAGACGTCATTTGATATTTTATACTCCCAAAACAAAACTAACCTGTTAACACTACAACCTTACAGTCTGAACTCTGAAACTGTTACATATTACGTCATAAAACCAACCTCGATCTCCGGGAAATAGTTAATCCTATTCCTCGGGAAATGTTTTAATGAGCATTTTCCGTATACAACGGGTATACCGGAAAATGCTCTTAATACTTAGCTTGATCATACACCCCGGGATATGGTTTAATAGTCGTGTGCACGTTCATATTTGTGTTTTATGTATACCAAATTTAGTGTCATACCTTTTGAGTTACGGGTAATGTTTGTACTCCAATATTTAAGATGACTAAATCTGTTGTATATAATAACCGGATAGTGAATAATGGTTTTATTACTCATAATAATAATAATAATAATAAATCCACCGAACTACTTTAGTAGCCTATAAATATATAAACCTAAGAATGAGGCCAAAAGACAAAATAAAAAAGAAACTAAAAAATGAAGGCATTACATCATTGATGATCCAGCAAGGCAAAACACTAGGAAGGTCTCTAAATGGGGACCAATAAAAGCATGGATTATGCCTTCGGAATCTTATTTTCATGAAAGTCCGTCTTACTAATTCCACACTCCCACCTTTTTTTTTTTTTGGGAACTTTTCAAGTTTACCTACTTGTTATGGGTAAAAAATATATTAGATAAATAATCCAATATATTTTTATTGATCGATGAAGGTGGCAATAAATATTTAATGAAGCTACGAAAATTATTTTATCCTTAAAGAGATCTTGTTACTAGATGACTATTTGATTGTCTTGTATCAAAGTAAAAAATATATTGGATTAATAAGAAAGAAGATCAAAGTAGCTTTGTAAAAATCTTCACTTTTTGTCATTAAAATTTTAAATTTACACTTTTCATTTTCATTTTAAAGCAACAAAGTTGAGTTTATAAAGTGGACTAGCTCTTTAAAATTATCAAGCAAGGACATTATAAATGTGTTAATTATTCAAATTATCGTAATATATTCAAAAAAAAAAAACAAAAAAAAAAAAAAACAAAAACTAAACAATCAGATGAATTAGGTGACATTTTCAGCTGAACTGCCCTAATAATTTCTAAGTACTGACCTGTGTGGTTGGGTATAAAAGGTGGTGCGTTTCATTTTCAGCATTGTTAAAAGGATTCTGGATTCTTCTTCTCAATGCTGATTTTATTCAATTAAATTAAAGATAAATTAAACTAAATAAAATTATATGGAAAAAAATGGAATAAAAAACATGCGTGTTACCATTTCCGCAAACAAACAAGTTCTAGCCGGCCAAAAACATCATTATTAGTACTCCTCCGTATTTCATTTGTGTTGTGATCTCGCATTGAATTTCGGATCTCTGAATCATGATTTTTAGTTTAATTTTTAATTAATGATATTTTAATTTTATAACTAAAATTTCCTGCCACACTTTATGACGTACGTCTATGTTAATTAATAATTAATGCTAACTTCTTGTTTTATTAACGTCTTAATTAATTAATTAATTGGTGATTTCTCCAATGTGAAGGCAGACTCAACGCTAAACGAGAGGATGATTAGCGGTACAAAGGAAGATTTGTTATGTACACGTCGGCTTATTTACGGCTGTACTTTTTTACAAGCGACAAAATAACATGTTAACGGTCTATTTAACAGATAATTAATAATTTGAGTAGTAATCAATAATACTCCATATGTAATTTTGTAAAGACCTCAAAATTACTACCTCAGTTACATATTATAATCGTTGCAAATAATATGTAATGGAGGTAGTACTTGTTAATTGTCAGTTTAGTAGACAATCTACCATCAATAATTTATCATATGCACTTGATATGTATTTTTGTAGGAATATTTTATAAAATGTCCTAAAATTTGCCTACCCTTTTAATTCAATACCATATACTATTAAATGGTTATATTTGACTACTCATACTCCGTAATTGGTATTCCAATAGAATAAATTTTTTTTACGTACAATAGTGTTTTTCAATTATCACTGCCTAGCAAACCAGACCATAACTAACAAAGCCATCGTAAAAAATTAAAAATTAAAAAAATTGCATAATTAACATCGTGGCAAAATAAGCTTAATGATTACAATACCCTAAAGTCTTTGAATAACAAAAACCTTTTCTAATTATATTACCACAAAAAGAAAATTTTACTTTTTATGGAAATAAATCAACGTTTTTTTTTTTTTGAGGGGATGGAAATAAATCAACGTTTTTGTGATTTAATCTTAGTTTCCTATTTATCAAAAAAAAAAAAAAAAAGGTTTGTTTTCAAGCATTTCCTAATTCTCGTCACACTTTTTAGCACTTCAATTTTTATAATATTAAAAGTTCAAAACTGGAGAAAAAAAAAAAAACAAGAAAATAACAAATTGCAAATATCTACGATAATTTGTATGAAAAGTAGAAAACTACCCAAAGAAAAAAGAAAACGCATAAGAAAAAAGAATATTCGAATGAAAATTGCTAAAATTAATTAAAAAAAAAATAATGAATAAAAAAAATGGAAATTTTGAAGCAAAAAAAATAAAGGTTTGTATTTAGTACTTACCTGTGTCAGTGATATCACTATCAGGTGAATCTTCTCCTTCACTAACACAACCATTACCATTACCATTACATTTAACACCATCATCATTATCAACAACCTCTTTCTCGAGATCATTCTTCGCAATCAATTTCTTCTCATCGAGATCATTCTCGTCGGCTCTCGATTCCGACACAACAACCTTCTCCCTTTTGGCGGCGGCTTTCCGGAGTTCATGAGCGACATCAGAGATGGTAAAGTATTTCTGCATCTGAAGCACAGGAATCCAGTTAAGCCGTCTCCGGTGGATCGCAGAGAAAACGCCGTCGTAATCCGCCGGAATATCGCCGGAGCCGCCGTTGATCTGGACGAGGTGGTGGCAGAGAGCGTCGATGATCGCGTTTGAAGCGGCGAACTCACCTCTGTACCATTCAATGACTTTGTCTTTTTGTGAAGGGGTTAAGACTCCGGTACCGGTGAATGCCGGTGATATTGCCGGAGCTACTCCTTCTGACGGTGACATTGGTCCCGCCGCCGGTGACATTTTGGTCAAACGCAGCGTTTTGGTACTGTGATTAAACGCAGCGTTTTGGTGGAAATTTGTGTTTTTTTTTGCTGGAATGTTGGAATGGAATGAGAAAGAGAAAAGGCAAATGGCGAGAAGAGTTTGGTGGGAGGTGTTTTTAGTTTTTCGGTTTTTTTTTATTTTTGGTCATTTTTCAGGGTTTTGGGGGGTTTTATATAATGGAGGTTTTTTTTTTTTTTTTTTTTTTGAATTTTTTAATTTCGCTTTATTGTTTGAAGAAGTGGGGCCAAGGAGTGACATGTCAAATTTGGAAAGGACATGACGTGGCCAACTTTCAAAGGGAGTGAATTATTTAATTTATTTTTAAAAATAATAAATTTGTTTTGTGAGGGTGGAAAGGAAGGTTCGCTTAATGAATAGTGGAAGGTGGCTTTTGAGGGGAGGGGAAGGTAGGGCGGTATAGAAAGTTACGGAATTGTCCTTACTCTTTAGGGTGGGTTTTCTATGTTTTTTGTTTATTTATTTATTGGTTGGTTTTGTTTTTAGACTAAAGGTAAACAATAATTTTAAAAGTGATCTCAAGACTCCTATTCTCATAGACGGAACTGAATTGAACTAAAATGAGCTGAGCTGAGCTGAAATGAATATTTTAGAAGAGAAGGAAATTAAGAGCTGACCTGACCTGAACTGAAATTAATTGAGATGAGCTGAACTGAACTGAACTGAACTGAAAATAAACGTATGTGAACATGCCCTTAACCTAAACTATTAAAAATAAGGAAGAAAAGAAACTATATGCTTACAAACAGATTAAAATTTTAATGATCAGCATTTAACAGTCGAGAGAAAAAAAAAAAAAAAAAAAAAAAAAAAAAAACATAATTTGCTCAGTTAGTAATGTGATATACATGCAAAGATATGACCGAAGATAAAATATGGAAGAAGTATTGATTTGGGAAAGGGATTCTCATCCCTTTTGAGAATACTATGCTTCACGCTATAAAATATTACTCTCTCCGTCCCTAAATTACATTCCTCTTTGGAAATTTATGCGGGAATCAAGGAGGAAAGAATAAGACAAATAACAATAATTAGATAATGCAATGGCAAGTACAAAACATTAAATAATGTTTTTGAGTAAAACAAAGATAGATTAGTGATTACTCATTACATATCATCAATCCTTTGAAAAAAAAAGGACCAATCACATGCTCCTAATTGAAAATTTTTAACCAACCATATTCATTGTAATTTGGCACAAGAATTCTGAAAAATTAAAGGCTGAAAAAGTACATTAGCCAACCAAACATTAAAAGTGGAATGTAAATACATTAATTATACATTAAAAGTACAACTGAAAAAGATACTGTATTTGGGATATTTAGAAAAAAAAAAAAAAAAAAAAAAAAAAAAACTTACTAAAAATAGAAAGGTGGAATGTAATTTTGGAATACCTAAAATAGAAAGGAATAATGTAATTTAGGGACGGAGGGAGTACCGAGTAAAGTAAATTATCTCTGGTCATCTATTATGATATTACGTACATTATTTTCAATGGCTAATTTAACCCATTTTGAATGGGTGTGGGAAGAGTAATCATCGACTTTTATTACCTTGCTCAGCACAATTTCATTTTGTTATGGTTAATATTCTCTCAGTTCAAAGTTAAATCAACTTGTATCCCTCATTTAATTCAATATCTTTCATGTTCGTTCACTTCGTTTGTGTCAATATCCTTCTTCTTTCAATTTAATTTACTTTAGACTAGCTTCATCTTTGTTGTTGTTTAAATAGGAAGAACAAAATTAAAAATAAGGTCAAACTAGTACAACAACATGTATACAAAGTTAATTATTGCGGGACAGAGATACAAAGTAGGTATAATTTTTGTGAAACAAATGAATTATTAATTCAGATCAATCATCTAAACTGTATAGACAACTTGGTTTAAAATCAAAAACTTTTCAGGTGATCTAACTGGTAAATTCTGGATTAGAGTCGGGTATTAAGTATAATTAATCAAAAATGATACATTTTACTGGATCCAAATGTCTTAAACAACTTAAGGACCAAATAGATATTTGCCATTTGCCAACCATATTGCCGGCTCTCGTCACATGCTCTCAAATCAAAAAAATAAAACGTTGCTGAAAAGGCCAACCATTCAATCACATCTCTAGAAATTGACATAAACCTGGCTCATTAAGTACAATCTCTTTATTATAAGAATGATGAATTCAACTTGATTTTGTCTTTGTTTTTGTTTTGTTAAATTGGAGGAAGCCCAGTTCATCTCTGATAGGGGAACTAATACGAGTATTGTCTAAAAGAATATCTTCCCATAGATAAATTCTCACTTCGTTCTTAAATTATTGTTCTTTTATGAGTAAACATGCGAAAAAAAGGTAGATAGTACTTATAGTAGTGTAATATTCCATCCATTAATTTGACTCACTTGTTACTATAGTAATTTGACCATTAATATATAATATTAACAAGTAATAATAAAAATAATATAAAAATTGAAATTATGACACTTAAGTTATATACCTTTTTGGACATTTATATAAAAGTATAAAACCGATTATCTTTCATATATATGTATAAAACCATAGCCAATAGCCCCGTTCAGTAAATGAATAGAACAATGTCATGTAAATTATTTATTTAGAGAGAAAAAATATGTTTACTTTTTTATAATAGAAAATGAGAATTAAAAAAAAAAAAGATTGGGGGTAAAAAGTTAGTAGAGTGCCCCACATTACATGAGGTGTGAAAATGGTGAATGAGAAATAGTAAATACTTGGTAGTGAAGTGCGCATCAAATGAATCAGATGATCTAAGCTGAGTTAGGAAAATTACACAAATTGATTATTTAAGGACGGAGATAAGAGTAATTATTAATTAGTTGAACATAGAAATCCTTTTTCTGACTCTAGATTAAAATCTCATTTATGTACAATGTACTCACCCATAACACTTAATTCTTTTGGTGGAAGACATAAGCATGTTGGAAAAAACATAAAAAGTGTAGAAGAGGTTAGAGGCCATACTTTCTGTTGCAAGCACTGAGCTCATGCTACACTCTTATAACTGTATAATTGTATATATATTATATATGTCCAAGGTTTATTTTCTAAAGGTATGACTATTAATTCCTATGATGACATCGTTAAGTTCCATTCTTCACAATGGACCTTTTTTTTTTTTTTTTTTTTTTTTTCTTCTTCTTCTTCTTCTTTTGACAGCACCCTTTTTGTGTATTTTAATTTCCTATACCTAAACCTTTTTGTTTTCTTTTTTGGTGAACTTCTAATATATGTTTTTTCATCAATTTACATAATTATCACCCAATATCTAATCTACCCTCAAGTGGTAGTAAAATGGTTGAAAATTTATGAATTGGAATTTCCATAGACATTGGCATACAAATTTCCTTTGCTTGCTTTGCGTACAAATACATTCATATACTAACACCAGTTATATTATATCAACTTTCAAACATGTCATATAGTCATACTTTGTTCTTATATTATATTTGAGTATACAATCAGTAATCAATTATTATTAATTGATCTATCCCAATTTAACGTTAAATTATACAACTATTTCTACTCTAGATCACATTTGCTTTTTTTCACTAATTACAAAAACAATTGATTTAGATTAAATGGCTAACTATTACTCCATAAAAATCTATTACACCTTTAGCTATACATTGAGACATGTATATGTCACATATCTAACAAGATCTTATATTATACTACTAAGTTTTGTTGTTAATTAGTATATCATTTTCAAAATGTACTCTCTAATATTTAAAGTCACTACTAATATTTGTCTTAATTCTAGTCATATGTACACCCTACTTATCGTTAGAAGCTAGCTATTTAATTATAGTATGATATTAGATGCCCCTTTGACATAACAAGGAGCTTCATTCCAAAAAATAGGAATCTTAATATATATATTTATATGTGAGTAGATATATAAGGATGGGGCAAGAACATTATTTGGTCAAACCCCTAGATATTTTTATTATAACATTTTTTTTCATTAGTATAAATAAGTAAGTAAAACAATTTGGAGGAAAAAAAAAAAAAAAAACTTATCCATTAGCATGCAATCCACTCAAATAAGGGTGGAAATGGGCGTAACTCAAATAGCATGGTCTCAATGAATGAACACACAAAATGAGTGTGACTGAAATGGCATGGTCTCAGTCACTTAACACATGAACTAAATTTTATATCATGCTACCTTTTGCCTCAGAAAAGTACGTTGGCACAAGCTTTGTCTACCATATTCTTACATAAATCTTACAACTATAACTTTAAATTTACTAGCTAGTGATTGAGAATGACAAATGGTTCATTTATCAAGTTTTCCTTGTTTGGTAGACAAATAATGATAAGTTGATCTCTATTATCAAGAGGCAAATCAAGCAATGTCATGGTCACAAAAGAAAGTAGAAGTGTGTCAAAATTTGCCGATTTGGTTTTTTTTTTTTTTTTTTTTTTTTTTTTTTTCTTTCTTTGCCTCTCCCTTGCCAATGTCGGCAAGTTAAAGATGCCATAGCAGGTTGACTCTCTCTAAGGACCGCGGTTAACCTAAATTTTCTTTTCTAATATAATAAAATAGATGTATATACACATAGTTGTTTGTTTGATGATCACGTAAACATGGCTAAATTATCAAGTTTCCTTTGTTATTAGAAAAAATAAATAAATTAATTAATGATAAGTTGAACTTTGTCATTGTGAGACAAATCAAGTAGTATATTTCATGCTTACAAAAGAAAGTATGTCTTAAAGGATGTCAAATCAATTTTCTAATTAAGCACTAAATTTCATGTCACAAAAAAAAAAAAAAAAAAAAAAAAAAAAAAAAAAAAAAAATTATCATGCATTGCATGTCTCTCAAAATTTATGTCAATTCAGTTTTCTTTCTTTGATCCTTCAATTTCCGATCATCTTATTTCCTTTATTATCTATAAGCATGATTTAGGTTGACCCTTTCAAAGGGGTTGACATAATTTTTCTTTCCTTATAAAATACAATAGATGTATGTACCTGTAACTGTTTGATTTAGAATTCTTACATGTGACTCACTCCTTGTTTGGTAGATAATTATGAGAATGAGATATCGTATATTAGGAGGCAAATTAAGCATCAGAACACATACCCCGCTCATTAACAAAGAAATTGTAAGATGTGCCAAAATATATATGTCGATTAGGTTATCATATTTTACTTTGACCCCCTCCGACCTCCATCATCCACAAGGATCGATGTTTTAAGTTGACTCTCTCAAATGAGTTGTAATATAACCGAAATTTGCAATGGAATGATTTGGGAATTCACCTTCATCTTAAACACAACAAATCAAAATAAATAGCAAAACACAATAATAAAAAGGAGACAATGTCTATGAGGAAATTCCTTCCCTCAAAAACAAAAATTGTTTTATTAAGTTCCTACAAAATCAGACAATAAACAAGAAATTTTGTCAATTGCAACCATTTAAAGTATATATTTGTCAATTGCAGCCATCCAATTCTATTTTACATCCAAACTAATCCCAAAACAATTTATATTAATTGTTTGTCGATTTCAAGCTTAATTTGGTTCCTGAAACCCTA